GTGGTGGGGTGGGGTGGGGGGGCTCCCGGAGGGTGCAGGGTGGGACCTGGTTCCAGGGCAGATTGACAGTGAAGCCGCGGCCCCGCCCCTGCCCGACAGCTACTGCGTCCGACTCCTGCAGGTAAGGCCAGAAGCGCCCGTGCTCATAACGGTGCCAGGAGAAGTAGAGGACGCTGGGAATAACCGGCCAGGGTCAAAGTTCAGAGGTGACCCTCAGCCCCACAGCCCCTCACACAACTCTGACGCTTGAGCACACAGCTGTCATCTGGCTAGGACTCCCCCAGGCCAGGCCGTGTGCCCCGAAGCGTGGGGGCCCAGGGAAGGGTTGCACCCCACCCCAGCTCACCTAGGGTCGTCCTCAAAGGTGTACTGGGTGCCCTGGCCGTGGTGGATGTCCCAGTCAACAATGAGGATCCTGGGGACACACAGCACTGGACTCACCGCGGGTCAGGGCCTCCGCTCCAGGCCAGGAGCCCAGCCCAAGATGGGAAGGGGCTGGGTGGGGGGCGCCCCACCTGCGGCCGGCCCAGCACACACCTGTGCAGCCCGTGCTTCTGCTGGGCATGTCTGGCCGCGATGGCCACGTTATTGAACACGCAGAATCCGTTGGCGGCAGCCCTCTGGCTGTGGTGCCCAGGAGGCCTGAGGGTGAGAGCGGGGCGTGGGGCCTGTCGGGGTCGTCCTCTGCCCACACGTGGGGGCAGCCAGGGGAGAGGGACGGCTCTCACCTCACCAGGGTGAGCCCATTGTGCACAGCTCCTGTCAGCACGGCGTCCACCAGCTGCAGCCCGGCCCCGGCGGCCAGCCGTGCGCTGTGGAAGGTGCTCTGTGGGGGCAGAGGTGCAGGTGAGCCCCCGCCGGCTACCCCACACAGACTCTGCTCACGTCTGCGCCAGGCTGCAGGGCACCAAGTGCTCAACGGAAGGGGCCAGGACGGTCCCAGGTGCCAGCCGCAGCAGCTATGCAAGGCACGGGCACGTCCATGAACACAGGGACCTCGGGCAG